GGGAGGGAGGATGGGAGTGAGTGTTTAAAGGGGACAGTTCTTTCTTTTCTTTTCTTTTTTTTTTTTTTTTTTTATACAGAGTCTCACTCTGTTGACCAGACTGGAGGGTCACAGTAAAACAAATTTAAAAGCTAGTGTAGGCCGGGCGCAGTGGCTCAAACCTATAATCCCAGCACTTTGGGAGGCCAAGGAAGGTGGATCATGAAGTCAGGGGTTCAAGACCTGGCCAAGATGGTGAAACCCTGTCTCTACTAAAAATACAAAAGTTAGCCAGGAATGACGGCGGGCATCTGTAATCCCAGATACTCGCAAGGCTGAGACACAAGAATTGCTTGAACCCAGGAGGTGGAGGCTGCAGTGAGCCAAAATCAAACCACTGCACTCCAGCCTGGGCAACAGAGGAAGGCCTTGCCTCGTAAAATAAATAAATAAATAAATAACCAATACATAAAGAAATATGCAGCCTTGAACTCCTGGGCAGCAGCCATCCTCCCACCTCAGCCTCCCGAGTAGGTGGAACTAGAGATGCACACTACCCACGCCATGCTAATTTGTAAATTTTTTGTTGAAGTAGGTTCTTGCTATATTGCTCAGGCTACTCTCAAACCCCTGGCCTCAAAGGATCCTCCTGCTTTGACCTCCCGCAAGGCTGGGATCACAGGCGTTCGTGACAGTGCCTGGCTCTCTCTCTCTTTTTAAAAAATCTTTTCCTTTAAAAGTTCAATCAAGCGCGCTTTTTACATCTGACTTCGTTTCTCAATAGGGATAGCTCTTTATCTCTCAAGACAATTAGGACAGGCAAACAGGTTTGCTTCTGGCTCTTGTATGTTTCGCCACACTCATATTTATTGAGCAAATAGATGAATTTGGCACAGAGCTGGGCACAGCAAGGAACCATGAAGAGCCCAGGAAACAGCTCCACCCCAATCTATTGAGACAGGAGGATGGTGGAATGTGCTGGAACACACTTCTAACAAGTCTGTTCCTCCTCCTGGGTTTTCTCTGTTTAGAAAACCACCAAGCCCAGGAGCCAAGGCAGCTGCCTCTGAAAGGCTGTGCTGAGCCTGCTGCAGCTGGAGCCAATTGGCCAGGCATAGCTGGCTGCTTCCTCACCCACACTTCCGCGTCAGGGTCAGCTCCCCATCCCAGCACAGATGCGTTACCAAGTGTTCAAATGGTGGTGCAGCACTCTGCAGACACAGGGCAGAGACAGAAATGTACCTTAAGACTTCACTAGTTTACAGGTTCCCCAGTCCAGATCTCTTTAAAGAAAGAAAAGGTGAAAGTCCAGGCGCGGTGGCTCACGCCTATAACCCCAGCACTTTGGGAGGCCGAGACTGGTGGATCACAAGGTCAGGAGTTCAAGACCAGCCTGACCAACATGAAGAAACCCCATCTCTACTAAAAGTACAAAATCAGCCAGGCATGGTGGCACATGCCTGTAATCCCAACTACTCGGGAGGCTGAGGCAGGAGAATCACTTGAACCTGGGCTCACTGTAGCCTCCACCTCAACAAGAGTGAAACTCCGTCTCCAAAAAAAAAGAAAGAAAGAAAAGGCAGGGCACACCTGTAATCCCAGCACTTTGGGAGGTCGAGGAGGGGACGACGGGTCACCTTAGGTTGGGAGTTATAGACCAGCCTGGCCAATATGGTAAAACCCCTTCTCTACGTGGTGGTGGGCACCTGTAATCCCAGCTACTTGGGAGACTGAGGCAGGAGAATCGCTTGAACCTGGGAGGCAGAGGATGCAGTGAGCCGAGATCGAACCACTGCACTCCTGCCTGGGTGCGACAGATCGAGATTTCCTCTTTAAAAAAAAAAAAAAAAAAAAAAGCTGGGCTCGGTAGCTCATCCCTGTAACCCCAGCATTTTGAAAGGCCAAGGTGGGTGGATCACGAGGTCAAGAGATTGAGACCATCCTGGCCAACATGGCAAAACCCCGTCTCTACTAAAAATACAAAAATTAGTTGGGCATGGTGGCGCGTGCCTGTAGTCCCAGCTACTCAGGAGGCTGAGGTAGGAGAATTGCCTGAACCTAGGAGGCGGAGGTTGTGGTGAGCCGAAGATCATGCCTCTGCACTCCAGCCTGGGAAAGAGAGCAAGACTCCATCTCAAAAAAAAAAAAAAAAAAGACTTCATTGCTTTTTTTTTCCCCCCCTGAGACAGGGTCTCACTCTTACCCAGGCTGGAGCGCAGTGATGCAATCTCAGCTCACTGCAACCTCTGCCTCCCAGGTTCAAGCAATTTTCATGCCTTGGGTTCCCGAGTAGCTGGGATTACAGGTGTCAGCTAATTTTTGTATTTTTTTGTAGAGATGGGGTTTTGCCACGTTGGCCAGGCTGGTTCTTGAACTCCTGGCCTCAAGTGATATGCCCGCTGTGGCCTCCCAAAGTATTGCTTTTTATGAATAGTGACCTCATTCCACATTCAGTAGTGGAGGAGGAATATTCCTCTACTCACTTCACCTCCCTATGCCAACCACAGCATGCAGACTTAGGGGCCTGGGCATGGCTGGCCGAGCAGGAAAGGCCAGGCGTGGTCAACTGAGCCATGGACCTTCCCTGGACCTCTCCTGCCTCCACCTGGTCCCTGCAGCAAGGGGTCCCAGGCACTTGCTCCTGAGCAGGGGGTTTACGTGGGAAATGGCCCTTGAGGCCCAGGTGGTGCAGTCAGTGCAGCCCCTACACCTCCAGCACTCTGAACCACTGCCACATGCTAAAGGCCACCCAAAAAATGCGGCCACAGAGAGGTCACAGCGTTACCCTCAATTCCTATCTGTGAGTAGGTCCTCAAGGCTTCCTCCGCTCCCAGTCGGACAGCCCATCGGCTAGGGAGGTACTGGTGCTCCAGCTCCTGTGGGACAAGGACACGGGGTTCCGTAAGATTTCCTTCTCAATAGTGTATCCCCCGCCACCTCCCTGCTCCTCTCTGCCTTAGAAGCCCCCTCCCCAGTATCCCAAGGTCTCCAAGATGCCCTTGGATTCATGGTCTACAGCAGGTGTCCCCAAACTACGGCCCGCGGGCCGCATGCGGCCCCCCGCCGCACTTCAGGAAGGGCACCTCTTTCATTGGTGGTCAGTGAGAGGAGCACAGTATGTGGCGGCCCTCCAACAGTCTGAGGGACAGTGAACTGGCCCCCTGTGTAAAACGTTTGGGGACGCCTGGTCTACAGGTATACCAGTGACAGCTGTGCCCTTAGCCAGCTGGCAGCCTGTGGGTAACCCGCCACATGGGCACCGAGGAAAGAGAGCTGTGCAAACCCCAGGCACAATTAGTGCCTGAAGAATATCTTAGTTTACAGTGTTATTACTCAGTTATTTCCTTTATATAATCCTTTATATATAATCACATATTAGTTTATAGAATTAGTGCCTGAAGTATAACTTGCTGCTTACATATATCTAGCTTATATAATCATACTTAGTACTTATATCTAGCATATTTAGATCCATATACTCTTTCTGTATAATCATATAGGTATTGTAGTCGGAGCCGCACTGACGCATTTAGTGCTGATTTGTAGAATCCTCCCACATAACCATATAGTAGTTTGTAGTAGGAGGCATGCCGAGAGCAGTCACAGAACAGAAGCAGTACATGGGAAAACAGCCAGACCAGGACGAGAACCAAAGAACAGATTCTTCCAATCTGTATCTGGAAAGGTTATTACCTGTAAGGTCCTTATAGCCCTGCCTGGCACACTCTGTGATCACTACCATCATCTTTGTTGCTGTTATTTATGATCAGGATTATGCAATGGATTTCTTTTTCTTTTTCTTTTTTAACGGGTATTTCTTTTTTTTTTTTTTTTTTTTTGGAGACGGAGTTTCGCTCTTGTTACCCAGGCTGGAGTGCAATGGCGCGATCTCGGCTCACCGCAACCTCCGCCTCCTGGGTTCAGGCAATTCTCCTGCCTCAGCCTCCTGAGTAGCTGGGATTACAGGCACGCGCCACCATGCCCAGCTAATTTTTTGTATTTTTAGTAGAGACGGGGTTTCACCATGTTGACCAGGATGGTCTCGATCTCTTGACCTCGTGATCCACCCGCCTCGGCCTCCCAAAGTGCTGGGATTACAGGCTTGAGCCACCGCGCCCGGCCTGGGTATTTCTTTTTTTTAACCCCACAGCTGTTCTGTTCTGTCTCCTTCAGCCTTTCCCATATAAGTACAGACCCAAAAACATTATGTAACCTCAGATCAAGGTCCAGAACTTTGGCCCCTAACCTCCTGCGGGTCTACGGATTTCTTTCTTTCTTTCTTTTTTTTTTTTAGACGAAGTCTCGGTCTTTCACCCAGGCTCCGAGGCTGGAGTGCAATGGTGATCTCGGCTCACTGCAACTTCCACCTCCTGGATTCAAATGATTCTCCTGTCTCAGCCTCCTGAGTAGCTAAGATTACAGGTGCACATCCCACGCCTGGCTAATTTTTGTATTTTTAGTACAGACCGGGTTTCATCATGATAGCCAGGCTGGTCTCGAACTCCTGACCTCACGATCCACTCACATTGGACTTCCAAAGCGCTGGGATTACAGGCGTAAGCCACCGCGCCTAGCTGGCTCTACGGATATTATTAGCAAAGCCAGGACTTCAATTTTCTCTATCCTGAAAATCAGGCTAACATAAATCTCTAGGAGAAGGCAAAAGACAACGTGGTGACCAAGCACTGGGGACCTGGCACACACTAACCTAGGCGTTCAGCACTCCCACAGGTGTGGCCTACATGGCTTCTAAGCTTCCTTCTTAGAATCTTCCCATCTAATCAATAAGTTAACGCCACCCCAGCGCCTCAGTCCCTCCCTGCAATCCACCCACCTCTGCAGACATCTTCTTCCAAGGAGCCTCGCCCGGAAGACCCGCACCGGAAACCTCCATCGCGCCGTCTACAGCTGGGGGTTGTGCGTCCCGCTCCTTTATAAGGCTGAGCCCCGCCTCGCTCCGCCCCTTTTAAACTTGGTGGGCGGAGCGAGGCGGGGCTCAGGCCAGGCCCCGCCCCGATAGGCCACGCGGGAGTCTTCCCACTCCCCGCGCTCGCGTCCCGGATCCCTCCCACCACCGGGCGGGCTGAGATAACATTTCCCGCCAGGTCCGCTGGCGGGCGCTGATTGGCCCCGGGGCGGCGGGGCTCGCGCTGATTGGCCCCAGGGCGGCGGGGCTCGGCCAGCACGCCGTGGCTAAAAGCCCTGGAGGCGCGAGCCGCGGAGGCTTCCTGCGGGGCGGCTTGGAGCGTTCTTGGATCCGTGAACTTCCGGAGACACTATGAGCTGCATTAACCTGCCCACCGTGCTGCCCGGATCCCCCAGCAAGACCCGGGGACAGATCCAGGTGCGGGGGCCGGGCCTGTGCGGAGCTGGGGATGATGGGATGGGGTGACGGCCTGTGCCCGGGCATCCGCGCAGGGCGGGTCCCCAAGTGACCTCACTTTCTCTCCTAGGTGATTCTCGGGCCGATGTTCTCTGGAAAAAGGTAACGGCTTCGCGGGGCTGGGGTGGACCTCCTTCCTCTTCCCCGGGGACCCTTGTCCCTTCCTTCCCTTCCCCTGCAAGGACCAGCGCAGCCTCCCACAGCTCCCGCCCGGGGTTCTCCTCCTCCCTGGAATTCGGTCCGAGAGGAAGCCTCCGCCCCCTTCCGTCCGGGTCAAGCCCCTCCTCCCCTGGGGACGCCGCTGCCTCTTGGAGCTGGTCACAGCAGATCGCAGCCGATCATAGCTTAGCTCTCTTCCCTGTCAAGTCCCCTGGGAAGGGGGCAACCCCGTGTGCCCACTGTAGGCCAGGTCTCTCTGTACCCCCCTCTTCAATGTGGCTGTTTCCTTATAAGGCCAAGGAAACGCCATGGCTTTCTGCACAGAGGAGTCTGAAGCCAGGAAGCCTCTGCTCTCTTGAGGTGATAGAACCATTCCCTGATCCAGCTAGTGAGATTCCTGGGTAAACCTACCCACCCACCACCATCCCTTTTGTTTTGTTTTTGTAGAGGTAGGATCTTGCTGTGTTGCCCAGGCTGGTCTGGTCTCAAACAATTCTCTCACCTCAGCCTCCCAAGTAGCTGGGACTACAGACGTGCACCACCCCACCCAGCTAATTTTATTTTATTTTTGTAGAGCTAGGAGTCTTGCTCTGTTGCCCAGCTGGTCTTGAACTCCTGGTCTCAAGCAATCCTCCTGCTTTGGCCTCCCAGAGTGCTGGAGTTACAGACGTTAGCCACCATGCCCTGCCCAAACAGTCTTACGTGGCCCTGGGGATCACTTCAGTTCAAACCCCTGGCTCAGGAAGATGAGGCTCAGGGTTGGACTTTTTTTTTCTTCTTTTTTGAGATGGAATCTTGCTCTGTCTCCCAGGCTGGAGTGCAGTGGCACGATCTCGGCTCACTGCCACCTCAGCCTCCCCAGTTCAAACAATTCTCTTGCCTCAGCCTCCTGGGTAGTTGAGATTACAGGCGTGCGCCACCACACCTGGCTAATTTTTGTATTTTTAGTGGAGATGGGGTTTCATCATGTTGGTCAGGCTGTTCTTGAACTCCTAACCTCATGATCCACCCACCTCGGCCTCCCAAAGTGGTGGGATTACAGGCATGAGCCACCTCGCGCGGCCGGGGTGGACTTCTGGGACCCAGAAGCAAGTGATTTTGACACGGCACACAAAGGTTTTCGGAAGTTACTTTAGAAAAGCTCTAGGCTGGGCGCGGTGGCTCAAGCTTGTAATCCCAGCACTTTGGAAGGCTGAGGCAGGTGGATCACTTGAGGTCAGGAGTTTGAGACCAGCCTGGGCAACAAGGTGAAACCCTGTCTCTACTGAAAAAAAAATACAAAAATTATTTGGGTGTGGTGGCAGGCTCCTGTAATCCCAGCTACTCTGGAGGTTGAGGCAGGAGAGTTGCTTGAACCCCGGGCGGCAGGGGTTGCAGTTAGCTGAGATCGCACCACTGTGCTCTAACCTAGGCGACAGAGTGAGACTCTGCCTCAAGAAAAAGAAAGAGCCGGGCGCGGTGGCTCAAGCCTGTAATCCCAGCACTTTGGGAGGCCGAGGCGGGTGGATCACGAGGTCAAGAGATCGAGACCATCCTGGTCAACATGGTGAAACCCCGTCTCTACTAAAGGTGCAAAAAATTAGCTGGGCATGGTGGCGCGTGCCTGTAATCCCAGCTACTCCGGAGGCTGAGGCAGGAGAAATGCCTGAACCCAGGAGGCGGAGGTTGCAGTGAGCCGAGATCGCGCCATTGCGCTCCAGCCTGGGTAACAAGAACGAAACTACGTCTCAAAAAAAAGAAAGAAAAAGAAAGAAAAGCTCTGAATTCTGGGAACACCTCTGGGATGAGGTTACTTTGGAATGCAGCTGCAGGCCCCCTCTACATGTGTGGCCTTTGCCCCTCTGCCTTCCCCACTACATCCCGGAGAAGCTTGCTCCTCCCACACTTTCTGGGACCACCTGAGTGTCATTCCTGGACACCTTCCCCATAGAGAATTCTGGCTAATTTTTGTATTTTTAGTAGGGATCTTACACCCTGCCTGCTCTGCCCTGTTCTTTCCCGGCTGTGGTAGGCTCAGGCTGCATACCACTAGGCGGGTGGTGAGGAGCCAGGCTTGTTGGGGAGGGGGTCTCCTTCTCCCACTCCTTCCGCCGTGGGCCTCACCTGACCCTCTCTCCTCTCGCAGTACGGAGCTGATGAGGCGTGTTCGTCGCTTCCAGATCGCTCAGTACAAGTGCCTGGTGATCAAGTATGCCAAGGACACTCGCTACAGCAGCAGCTTCTGCACACATGACCGGTCAGTCCCTGCCCCTGCGGTCCTGTCCAGTAGAAAATCACAAGGCACAGGACACACCGTTGGAGCTCTCTTTAGTGGGGATGGTCAATCATGCTGGCGAGGCATTGAACGAACCGGTTCAGACCAGCACACGTTCCACCGTGCTTGGCGAGCTGGTGCCCACTCCATTCCCTGGGCTAGAGCCAGTGGATCTCATCTGGGGGTGATTTTGCCCCCAGGGTCCATTTGGCAATGTCTGAAGACATTTCTAGTTGTTGCAACTGGAGCGGGAGGGGATGCTACTGGCCTTTAATGTGTAGAGGTCAGGGACGCTGGTGCTGAGGGGCCTACAGTGCTGGGATTACAAGTGTGAGCCATAGCACCCGGCCGCTTGTTTGGTTTTGAGACAGGGTCTCTGTCACCCGGGCTGGAGTGCAATGGCTCAATCCTAGCTCGCTATTATGCAACCCTAAACCCTTCAGCTCAAGTGATCCTCCCACTTCAGTGCACTGAGTAGGTGGGACTACAGGTGCATACCATGCCCAGCTCATTTTTAGACTTTTGTCAGACAAGGTCTCACTGTGTTACCCAGTCTGGTCTTGAACTCCCGAGTTCAGGTGATCCTCCCATCTTGGCCTCCCGAAGTGCTAGGATTACAGGCATGAGCTGCTGTGCCTGACAGATGTTAAAAATTTATATTATGCAGCCGGGCGCGGTGGCTCAAGCTTGTAATCCCAGCACTTTGGGAGGCCGAGGCGGGTGGATCACGAGGTTGAGAGATCGAGACCATCCTGGTCAACATGGTGAAACCCTGTCTCTACTAAAAAAAAAATACAAAAAATTAGCTGGGCATGGTGGCACGTGCCTGTAATCCCAGCTACTCAGGAGGCTGAGGCAGGAGAATTGCCTGAACCCAGGAAGCGGAGGTTGCGGTGAGCCGAGATCGTGCCATTGCACTCCAGCCTGGGTAACAAGAGCGAAACTCCGTCTCAAAAAAAAAAAAAAATTTATATTATGTAATACAGTTGATAGAAGGACAAGTATAACCTAGGCCCAGTTCTAGTTACTCATTCTTGTGAATTTTAAAAGGAAACATTTGGCCGGCCCCTAATGGTATTATGGGCTTGGTACCTGATGAAATTGACCTTGTCTGCCCCCAGCTCACTCAACAGTGGAAGAGTTTCTAGTCTCACTGAGCTTTGTATTGGACACTACTAATTTCTAATCCAAAGCATCAAGTGAACTGGCTTTTATAAATAACTGGTTTTCCTCTTTGGGGGGCCGAAGTGGGCGGATCACATAAAGTTAGGAGTTTGAGACCAGCCTGGGCAACATGGTGAAACCCCTTCACTAAGAAAAATATAAAAATTAGCTGGGCATGGTGGCATGGACCTGCAGTCCCAGCTACTCCTGAGGCTGAGGCCGGAGAATTGCTTGAACTTGAGAACTGGGAAGTGGAGACTGCAGCAAGCCGAGATGGTACGACCGCACTCCAGCCTGAGCAACAGAGCAAGGCTCTGTCTCAAGGAAATTAATTAATTAATTAATTAATTAACTGGTTTTCTGGACAAGGGCCTGTCCCATAGGTTGTGGGAAAATCCCTGCTAGGTGAACACTGATCTGGCTTTGCACGTCGCGGGTCGTTCCCTGGCCACTGCATCCTGGCCCTGGCCCGCCTGGCTTCGCTCACGCTCTGGCTTTCTCTTCCCAGGAACACCATGGAGGCGCTGCCTGCCTGCCTGCTCCGAGATGTGACCCAGGAGGCCCTGGGAGTGGCTGTCATAGGCATTGACGAGGGGCAGTTTGTGAGTTGGCTTATCCTGGTGGCACTCTTCTGCCAGCTCCTGCTCTGTCCTCCATTTTCCCCCACTGGTTTGGAGGTTGTCTGATCTGTTAGTAAAATAACAAGGTTAAATAGCTACAGCTGGTGTTGGAACACTCTCTGAAGGCCCGTTTCTAGTTTCCCTGTCATAGTCATGTAGGTTTCATTTTGCCTTTTTTTTTTTTTTTTTGAGATGGAGTTTTGCTCTTGTTGCCCAGGCTGGAGTGCAATGGCGAAATCTCATTTCACCACAACCTCCACCTCCCCAATCAAGCAATTCTCCTGCCTCGGCCTCCCAAGTAGCTGTGATTACAGGCATGCACTACCACATCTGGCTAATTTTGTATTTTTGGTAGAGACAGGGTTTCTCCATGTTGGCCAGGCTGGTCTTGAACTCCCAACCTCAGGTGATCCGCCCATCTCAGCCTCCCAAAGTGCTGAGATTACAGGTGTGAGCCAGTGTGCCAGCCTTTGTGTGTGTGTGTGTGTGTGTGTGTGTGTGTGTGTGTATGTGATAGAGTCTTGCTCTGTCACCTAGGCTGGAGTGTAGTGACGTGATCTCGACTCAGCAACCTCTACCTCCTGAGTTCAAGCAATTCTCCTGCCTCAGCCTCCTGAGTGGCTGGGATCACAGGTATGCACTACCACGCCTGGCTAATTTTTGCTTTATTTATTTACTTATGAGATGGGGTTTCACCATGTTGGCTAGGATGGTCTTGATCTCTTGACCTCGTGATCTGCCCGCCTTGGCCTCCCAAAGTGCTGAGATTACAAGCGTGAGCCACGGCGCCCAGCCCAATTTTTGTATTTTTAGTAGATGGGGTTTTACCATGTTGGCCAGGCCGGTCTGTTGCCCCCGACCTCAGGTGATCCACCTGCCTTGGCCTCCCAAATTGCTGGCATTACAGGTGTCAGCCACCTCGCCCAGCCTTGATCCTGTTGCTCTGAAAAGTAGTAGTGCTGGTCGCTGTGTTTTTGCTTAAGGGAAGGCCACCATCTGTCTAATGGTTAAGGTTACCTCTGGTCAGGCATTCTGTCTGTTCTCGATTAGCACTGTGTGTCCAGGGGAAGCTTTGTTTTCATGTATCCAACTTTATAACTGGTATGCCTTATCATTTCTGGGGAAGAGACGGAGCCATTATCTTCAGGTATTTCTCTCCTCGTCCCTCTCTGAGGTGTTCTGGATTCCATCTTCCAAAGTGTGTCTTGTTTCAATGACTTTATACCTGCTGCTCTAATTCAGAATCCTCCATTTTGTTTGACAAGTTACTGTGGGGTTATATTTAAGTTTATGCTGTTCCTTCCATTATGTTTCGAAAAATCTTTCCTTATACTTTTCCTAGATTTTTCTGTTTCCTCAGAACACATTCTCTGGTTGATTTTCTGGGTTATTTTCTGTTATCTTAGTTTTCCTTCCTTTACTTTGGAGTTTTTTAAAATTTTTATTAGTTTATCACAAATGAATGAAACTGAAACTCACTTCCCAAGGGGCTTAGCAGACTTAACCCCTTAGGTACTTTTAGGATTGCCTCTAAGTATACAGTGTGGTGGTTTGATATAAACATAAACACAAAGACTAGAATCTGGGCACAGGGCACAGGGTCACCTATACTTTTAGTCTAGTACACCTAGTCTAGTTTTTTTTTTCTGAAACAGTCTTGCTTTGTGGCCCAGGCTGGAGTGAAGTGGCACGATCTCAGCTCACTGCAACCTCTGCCTCCCAGGTTCAAGTGATTCTCCCACCTCAGACTCCCAAGTAGCTGGGATTACAGGCTCCTACCACTATGCCCAGCTATTTTTTTGTATTTTTAGTAGAGATGGGGTTTCGCTATGTTGGCCAGCCTGGTCTTGAACTCCTGACCTCAGGTGATCCGCCTGCCTTGGCCTCCCAAAAGTGCTAGGATTACAGGCGGGAGGCACCGTGCCCGGGTACACTTAGTCTATTTTTATACCCTTGACTGTATACTTAGTCTAGTTCTATACCCTGGAGGAAGAATAAATGAGTTTGTTTGGTGAGTGGTTCAAGATCTCTACCCACCCTGCCTCCCAGCACAGAGCCAGGCTGCTCCGGCTGGAAAACCCTGCCCGGACATCACAGGGCCTGTTCCCCCCAGCTGGGCAGTCCTGCCTTCCTCGTTCTGCTCTTACCCAACATTCTCTATGAGTCACAGCCCCAAATTCCATTCCCATGGGGAGGCTGACGGGTCCCTTACCGTGTGGAGTTGGACTCCAAGCTGTTGGTGTCCGTTGTGGGTTCCAGACCACCCGGTAGCTGGCATCTGCTCCCCGCTTGGGTGTGCACCTTCCATTTCTGACCTTCAGAGGTGCGCTTCTGGGCACCCGCATGCCTCTGCACCACGGAGATGCTGTTGCCGCTGTGTGGCTGAGACACTCCAGGTGAGAAGGTGGGCCCAGGCTGGGAACAGGGCTGCAGCTGTTTTCTTTTGCTCCCAAACTGTGGCCTTGGAATGCATCCAGGGATTCTGCATCAGCTTTTGGGGCATGGCCCTCTCAGAACAAGGAAGAGCAAGGAAGCTTCAGCTCTGGCAAGGCTCTCCCTGCCTTCGGACCTGCCGCTGTGAGTTGCTCAAGAGCTCTGTTCTCCTGGCTCTGCGTAAACCTTGTTGACAGATGCTGACCCAGACACCCCAGGCAGAAACCTTTCCCTTCTCCTTCCTTCTTCCTTAACATCCAGATGCCCCAAGTCAGGAGCCAGCAGATTAAGTCCTGTCCCCTGTTCCAGCCTGAAGGAGGGATTTCTCAGTCTACTTCCTCCCTGGCCCGCAAGTAACTTTAGTTCACTCAGGGAGTATTTATGACACCCCTATCCAGACATCAGCCTTATGCCATTCTGCTCTGGCCTCTGTGTACCCTTGTTCCCTTCTAGAAGTTTAGCATCTTCCCATTGCAAGCATTTCTAGATCGAGGAGAGGGGTTCCTAGCATGTGGGCCCCACAGAAGGACTGTCCTTCCCTCCTTCATTGTCTACGTGGACAGTGGAAGAAGCCCAGCCTGACCTGCCTTGTTCCTTCCTGTTTTCTGGGTCAGCAGGGAAAGCCTTTCACAGAGTAGCCACCATGCCATTCTGAGGAAGGCCCTGGGTCAGAAGCTTCTGTGCTGCTTTGTATGCCGGGTGAGGCACAGAGGTGCTCACACTGCTTTGTAGAAGTCGTTGGCATCCAAGAGAGAGTCATATGGAGACCCCAAAGCCACTAGCTGGGGGTGCTATGCTTCAGATGCCGGTGGTGGGTGAGCACCCTGGCCCCAGCACCTCTCCCACGTGTTCATCAACAGCTGCACAGTGTCTGGCGGGCCTGCAGGGTTGCTTGGCAATAGTGGAGGCTCTGATTTTTTAAACTTTTTTTCTGGCTGGGCACGGTGGCTCACGCCTATAATCCCAGTGTTTTGGAAGGCCAAGGCTGGCGGATCACTTGAGGTCAGGAGTTTGAGACCAGCCGGGCCAACATAGTGAAATCCTGTCTCTATGGAAAATACAAAAATTAGCCAGGTGTGGTGGCACGCACCTGTTATTCCAGCTACTTTGGAGGCTGAGGCAGAATCATCACTTGAACCTGGGAGGCAGAGGTTGTGGTGAGCCAAGATCATGCCACTGCACTCCAGCCTGGTGACAGAGTAAGAGATTGTCTCAAAAAAGAAAAAAAAAGACAAAACCTTTTTTTGTTTTCTGTTCTACTACACAAGTAATACAGGTCGAGTATTCCTTGTCCTAAATGCCTGGGACCAGAAGTGTTTGGATTTCTGATTTTTTCAGATTTGGGAATATTTGCATGTATATGATATAATGAGACCTTGGGAATGAGTCCCAACTGTAAAAACAAGATCCGTTTAGGTTTTATAGACATCTGATTCAGAAAGCCTGGGAGTGATTTTGTATGCTATTTGGTTATTTGGGCATGAGCCAGAGTTTTGACTGCGACCTGTCCCATAAAGTCAGGTGCAAAATTTTCCACTTGTGGCGTGCACTCAAAACGTTTGAGGTTTTGGAGCCCTTTCGATTAGAGACTTCTTAAGTTTAATCTGGAAAAAGTTAGAGTCTGGCACTGGCTCACGCCTGTTATGCCAGCACTTTGGGAAGCCGAGGCACACAAATCACTTGAGACTAGGAATTTGAGATCAGCCCAGGCAATATGGTGAAACCCTGCCTCTACCAAAAATACAAAAATTAGCCAGATGTGGTGGCACATAACCTGTAGTCCCAGCTAGTTGGGAGGCTGAGGTGGGAGCATCAGCTCAGCCCTGTCGGTCCAGGCTGTGAGTCATGGTTGAGCCACTGACCTCCAGCTTGAGTAATGGGGATCGAGACTGGGAGCTGCATTTTCGTGACACGTGATGAGTCCTCAGAGAAAAAGACGGAACAGGTGCGCGGCGGGGCAGGGCCCGGCATGCTGGAGTCTCTGGGTTTCCTTTCTAGAGGCCCCTGCAGTCTGCTGAGCGCAGTCGGTCACGTTGGGCTTCACCTGGATCCTACTGGAATTTTCCTGGCTATGCCCTAGTCCTCGCCTTGCTAAGCCCTCACGTCTTAATAACCTCAAACCTCAGTACCTGGGCTGAGGAAAGCCTGAGGGGTTCCGGGAGAGAGACCTGCGCCCAAGGACAGGAACAGCCCCGCTTCAGCCAACCCAAAGGCCAGTCTGGACATGTGAACTCAACCAGCTAAAAGCAATATGACTGATTGATGAGAATCACCAAAGCGCTTGCTAGAGCAGGCGTCCCCAAACTACGGCCCGCAGGCCACATGCGGCCCCCTAAGGCCATTTATCTGGCCCCCCGCCGCACTTCAGGAAGGGGCACCTCTTTCATTGGTGGTCAGTGAGAGGAGCACAGTATGTGGCGGCCCTCCAACGGTCTGAGGGACAGTGAACAGGCCCCCTGTGTAAAAAGTTTGGGGACTGCCTGTGCTAGAGTTTCAGCCTCTCCCTGGGCCAAAGTGAAATTTGATGTGGGCAGTAAATGTGCTCTGTGCCGGCCCTGTATTTAGAAGGCTGTGCTGTGTCATCCTGCTCTGTAAATGGCCAGTAGGACCCCCGCCCCTTCTCAAGGCACATTGCCCGTTTAAAAGTGGGGGGGCAAGAGCAGGAAACGCCCAGCTACTCGCTGAAGTGCATGTGTGTAACTTAGTGCCTTCTGTCCTTACACAACAGGACCTTTCTTGCTATCTCGTAGTGAAGAGGAAACAGGTTCAGAGACGTTAAGTCACTGCCAAGGTCGCGCACAGAGACTTTAAGTCACTGCCAAGGTCACACAGATTCCCAGCAGTGTCCGAGCCCCAGGCAGCAGGTGTCTGGCCCCAGCCTTTGGCCGCTGCAGTGTTAAACAGCACAGCAGGTGTAGAAGTCTGATGCTGAGTCCTGGGCACCTGAACTTGGAGCAGAAGCTGGCTGCAGGGCGAAGGGGCTGGGCAGTTGTGGATGTGCCTGCTGTCTGCTGGGAGGGCACAGACGGACAGTCCCCAGCCTGGGGAGCCTCGTGGAAGATTTAGAGTTGCTCCAGGCTGAATGTCGGGAGTTGTAGGACCTGGCAGCGTCTTCGCCGGGGCTTCAGGGAGCTGCTGCTAGGGTGGAAGCTCTCACGCTCTTTCTCCACCTGCCCTTTCCAGTTCCCTGACATCGTGGAGTTCTGTGAGGCCATGGCCAACGCTGGGAAGACGGTCATTGTGGCTGCACTGGACGGGACCTTCCAGAGGAAGGTAAGGGGTCTGATCCAGGTCTGGAGCTTGGTGGATCCAGGAGGGGAGTGGGCTTCTGGGTGGGCACAGGACAGTGCACAGAGACACCAGCCCCGGGTGGCCAGGCCCCAGCCACTGCAGGGGCACGACAGAGCCGCTCAGACCAGGCCTTGCCTGAGCCTAGGGACTCCCTGGTCTGTGCAGACCAGGTGCCATCTGTTGCGGCAGGTGGTTTGAATTGGCAAGGGGACAGAGCTGGGCATGGTGCTCTGGGGGTTGGGGGGAGGACTAAGGTCAGAGCAAACTTTCCTGGCTTCAGTGCTTGTGAATCAAAGGGTTTAAAAGAAAACCCTGCCTGGTGAGGTATCTGAGCACCCACTGTCTTTCCATGGGAGTGCAGGCATTCGGGACCATCCTGAACCTGGTGCCACTGGCTGAGAGCGTGGTGAAGCTGACCGCAGTATGCATGGAGTGCTTCCGGGAAGCCGCCTACACCAAGAGGCTTGGCACGGAGAAGGAGGTAGGTCCCCCGTCTTCCCTGCAGGCCGGTGGGGTGGGGGTGTGGCTCTGTCTCCTTCCTGTCCCGGCCCTTTACCCATCCCCTGTCCCTGCGGCTAGGTTGAAGTGATTGGAGGAGCAGACAAGTATCACTCTGTGTGTCGCCTCTGCTACTTCAAGAAGGCCTCAGGCCAGGCTGCCGGGCTGGACAACAAAGAGAACTGCCCCGTGCCAGGAAAGCCAGGAGAGGCCACAGCTGCCAGGAAGCTCTTTACCCCGCAGCAGATTCTGCAATGTAGCTTCACCAACTGAGAGGCCTGGAAGGGCTGCCCACTCTCTTCCAGCCACTGCCGCCTAGTGGACACTGCTCTCCATGCTGCCTGGCCGCCCCAGGAGGGTGACCACACCTCGCTCGGCCTTTGGGAAGTCGCCTTTGTGCGGCTGCCCCACCTGCCGCGTGCTCTCTCCTCTCCTGCCCACCGGCCTGCTTAGCTTCCCTCTCTGCTGCTGGGACGGTTGCCCAGGCTGGAGCTGGCCCTGCCTGGTGACCTGGGATCTGGCACACTCCCCCTGCTTGGGGTGAGGGACAGCCACACGCTGTTGACATCAGCCTGCTTCTTCCCCTCTGTGGCTTGCACTGCTGAGTTTCTGTTCTCCCTGGGAAGCTTCCGCTAGCATCTTTAAGCCTTGGGCCATAGAGGTTTAGGCCCCTCTGCCTGGGATGGGCCCCTGCCCTCCCTGAGGATGGCCTGGACTCATGCCCTCTTGCTTCCTTTTGGGCTCAAAGCCCTTCCTACCTCTGGTGATGGTTTCCACAGGAACGACAGCATCTTTCACATGGGTGGCACCAGCCTCGCTGGGACTTGGATCATAGGTGCTTGTCTCTTCGTGGGGAGAGGGCAGGGTCAACGTCTCCGCTGTTGTGTATGAAATTAATTAATTTAAAATTCACTGGTTGGTGGACGCCCATTTCTCTTTAAGCTGGGTTTCCCCGGGTCTCATGGACAGCGCCAACTTGATGTGGGTGGGGATTTTCTTCCAGATCTTTTTGTTTTGTTTTGAGATAGAGAATTCTCTGTCACCCAGGCTGGAGTACAGTGGTGCCATCTCAGCTCACTGCAGCCTCTACTTTCCCATTTCAAGTGATTTTCCCCGCTCAGCCTCCCGAGTAGGCAGGATTACTGGTGTGTGCCACCACACCTGGCGAATTTCTGTATTTTTAGTAGAGATGGAGTTTTACCATGTTGACCAGGCTGGTCTTGAACTTCCGATCTCAAGTGATCTGCCTGTCTCAGCCTCCCAAAGTGCTGGGATTACAGGTGTGAGGCACTGGGCCTGGCCCCCAGATCTTTTTGTAGTAATACTGATCTCGTAACCACAGCCGGTTAACTAAGAAATGATCATGGGGTGTGTCCTAAGGGGAACATTGTCTGCCTTCCTGTCTGGGCCAGTGTCAGGACAAAAATGGTTGCACAGGGGAGCCCAGGGCCCAGCTGGAAGGACGAGGCACATACCTGCCTGCTGGGGCTTCAAGGTCAGTTTTTGTTTGTGAAACACACTCTGGGTAGTTCAGGAGTCAAGACACCTCTCAGCTGTGCCTCAGAGATGGGCTGTTGGCAGCTCACTTGGGCTCAGACATTGCTGGGGTGGGGTGTGCCCTGGGCAGGCAGGGTCACCACTGCCAGGGCCTCCCCAGCCTTCCTCTCCCCTTTGCTAGTGATGTGTCCCAAGCCAAAGCCACCGGGTGTGGTTGGGAGCAGCGCCCTGTTACTTTGTACTGGGGATTTTTAAACGTTCGGGTTCGGGACTTGCCATTGACGACTCTGTCATTGCTCAAAAGAGGAAGCCGGGAGTTGCTTTAGGGCGCTGACCTCTTCCAGAGATGGGCCTTATCTCCGAGGGGCCCACTTCCTGCTGTGACCCAGGAAGGGTGCAGAGGTGCTGAGCCCTGGAGGAAGGCAGAAATGTGGCCTTACCCCTTGTACCCCTCATTCAGTGCTGGGAAAGGGCATTCAGCGGGTAACTCCCAGGTACTCCCACCCCAACACTAGGAAGGGAGCAGCAGGACCCTGGCACTGCAGGCCAGAAAAATCATCTTGTAAACAAGATGAGCACAGTTGCTATTTTAAGAGCTGGATGAAAGGCTTGTGCGGAATGCGACCCCAGATTGAAAGGGGGCCAGCCAGGCATGCTGGAGAGGGCGCACTGCCACTGCCTTGTGTAAACTACAAGCTTCATCAAGCCAGCCCCTAAGGGTGTACCCAGAGTGGAGTCTCTTCCTCTGACTCCTAGGCTCTGGCTCAACCAATGGCAATGGAGACTGAATGAGAAAACATTTATTCCCTCTCCAAACAGCATCCCAGGGCTGGGCATCGCCCCCAAGGCTTTATAATACATTCGGCACAGAGTGGGAGCCATGGGGCATGGGACACCCCTGCCCTCCCCATGCTTCCTAAGTAACAACTGCAGAATATTTACATAAAGCTGGGTGTTGTCAGGCAAAGCCCTTCCCTGCTGCCAGGGGTGGGAGCAAGGAGGAAGTGCTGTGGGCACTAGCCCTGCCCCACACCGTGGGGGGCAGCCCAGAGGCCACTGGCCCAGGGTGGTGGCCCCCAGATCATACAGCAGTGGGCATAGTGGGAGCAAACCTGAGTGAGGACGCAGGAGCCTGGTCCAACCCCGATGCACAGGGCAGGTGTAAAGGCCCCTGCAAGAGTCTTTGGCAGAGAACACAGATAACAGTGGCTCCCACAGCCTGACCTGGGCTGGGGGAAAGCTGAGGCACGGTCAGTAGCATGTGGGTGCCTGCTGGCTCCTAGCCACTTCAGGCGGGTCTGGGGTCATTAAAAGCAAGGAGAAACACTAGCTAAAAACTCTTTCCTAAAAGTGCCCTGGAGGAGTGAGTGACTGACGAAGCTCTGGGCGAAGGCACTTGGGGTGTGGCTCTGCCAGCCCCCCAGGCAGGGAGGTTCCTTAGCTGTGTGTCAGCTGCACAGGACGTGACAGGCAAAGGAGAGGGGCTGGCAGCTCCAGGAGGCTCTCGGGAAGGTTCAGGGCAGAGGGGAGGGCCCTCTCTACCCCACTTCCCACCCAGGCCACCTCTCAGTACACAGGGGGCGGCTGGTAGCCCTCGGTACTCTCCACATTCTGGGTGAAGGGCGGCTGTTGGTAGTTGTCCGCAGATGCGCTTGGGTAGGAGGCGTAGGCACTGCTGGGGTCTGGGGTGGGGTCGACGTAGTTCTGGATGAAGTCATCTACGCCAGCCTTGTAGCGCTGGTAGGCCAGGAAGGCCAGTGCACCCTGCAGGGGGAGCACACGGGTACAGGTGGGTAGGGAACCCCACCTTCCACCACCCTTTACCCAAGAACCGGCCCCTGGCCCACCTACCCAGGAGAAGATGGAAAAGAAGCTGAAGGTGATGGCCGCCCTCGCAGAGTCGGCCCCCACCAGCACGTCCGCCGGGTCGGTGACCGCCCACTGGTTGGTGAGGAAGCAGAAGCCAACAAACCACAGGAAGGTCCAGAGAGCTGGGGTGGGGGGGAACGGGTGGGGCGTCAGTTCCACGGAAGGGGAGGGGCTTTCCAGGACTCTGGGAGGGGACATGGGCAGGTAGGGCAGGGCCTAGGCAGGAGCCTCCGGGGAGCCTCCACAACATGGAGAGGAGGACTTGGAAGCCCAGCTGGGATCCGCCTCCAAAGCCCACCTGTACTGGGGCCTCAGCACAGTGGGTCCCAGCAGACAGCTCAGGGGACAACAGGGAAGAGGCACAGCCCATCTGTTTGGGTGTGCTGGGGCTCCGCTCAGCTGCTAGCTACTCCAGGCAGGGCTGGCGCTATGCAAGCAAGGAGAGACACTAGCTGAAAACCCTTTCCTAAAAATGCCCTGGAGGAGTGAGCTGCTCCCTGCCCCTCCCAGAGAGGCCAAACCCCCCCACCCCCGACCCAGGGAGCCCTAGAGTTAATGCCTCCCCCTCCTAGTCACCTCCCAAGATCAGATGGAGGTGCTATAGGCAGATACCTGAGAAGAGCAGGTCACCAATGACCAGGTACTTGCGGTCAGCGGCGCTGCTGATCTGGGGAAAATACGCATCGACCACCAAGAAGAAGGCCGAGGCCAGGAAGGCCAGCACCCCGATGGCACTGCCATAGCGGCAGGCATCCTCGTTGTGGTTAAACACGCAGTACATCTGCTTAGACTTGTGGGTGTTGCTGTAGCCCTCGCCATAGATGCAGGAGAACACGATCAAGGCAAAGACCTGCAGGAGGGGAGGATCCGTTAGGGCTGGGGACGCACACGGCGGGGACCCTGACGGGGTGTTCAGACGCTGGCCTCGCCAACCACTGCTGTCCCCTTTTGATTTTTTTGAGATGGAGTCTCCCTCTTGCTGCCCATGCTGGAGTGCGATGGTGTGATTTTGGCTCACTGCAATCTCCACCTCCTGGGTTCAAGCAGTTCTGCCTCAGCTTCCTGAGTAGCTGGGATTAGAGATGCCCACCACCATGCCTGCTTATTATTATTATTATTATTTTTTGAGATGGAGTTTCATTCTTGTTGCCCAGTTTGGAGTGCAATGGCATGATCTCGGTTTCACTGCAACCTCTGTCTCCCAGGTTCAAGCGATGCTCCTGCCTCAGCCTCCCAAGTAGCTGGGAGTACAGCCATGTGCCACCATGCCCAGATAATTTTGTATTTTTAGTAAAGACGGGGTTTCACCATGTTGGTCAGGCTGGTCTTGAACTCCTGACCTCAGGTGATCTGCCTACCTCGGCCTCCCAAAGTGCTGGGATTACAGGTGTGAACCACTGCGCCCAGCCATAATTTTTGTATTTTTGGTAGCGATGGGGTTTCACCATGTTGGCCAGACTGGTCTTGAACTCTTGACCTCAGGTGATTTGCCTACCTTGCCTCCCAAAGTGTTGGAAATACAGACATGAGCCACGTCACCCAGCCTGCTGTCCCTTTTTGGAGGCTGGCATCTCAGCCCCTCCGTACTTGTGGAGGTGAGCTGATGAGTAAAGTGCTTCCTGGTACACCCGGAGATCAGACTCTCCAGGCACCAGGGGCCTGTCCCTGGAAATCCGGGGTGGGGGAGGGGTGGGGAATGGTGGGACCTAGGCAGGGGCGGCTCCTGCTCCAGCTGCCTCCCTGCAGGACTCATCCTGCTCAGGGACCTAATGGATGAAGGGCAGTCCTTCTACCCCTAGCCCAACCTCACCTTGAAAGAGGTTTAAGCAAGACAGGCCACCAAGCCACAGAGTCTCAGCCAGCCTCCGACACCTTCAGCCCAAGTCACTTCTACAGCGCCCAGCCTCTGCTGGAACACCCTGGTGAAGGTGGGGAGGCCCTCTTGGGACGGCCAAGGTGTGCCCTCTGCCTACATCTCCTGGAAACCCCTCTAACCCTTCCCTGGTTCAGCCCGGACAGCTGTCTCCACACAAGGACTTCCAGTCTCTGTGGCACCCTGGTCCCTCCTGGTTGAGAGAGCCCAGTCTGTCTCCCATCCCACAGAGGGTCCTGCATGCACAGGGCACTCCAAGGGGCCTGACTCAGGCCTGTGGATACAGCTCTGAACTCAGACCCCTGGAGAACCCAGGGTGAGTGTAGGGGGCTCCAGCCCCTTGGAAAGAGCCCCATGCCACCTCCCTAGACTTCAAGGGCACCACCCATGCCTGCTCCACCTCAGCAGGTGTGGGACAGGTCTGTGGGCATCAGGCTCCGTCTGGGATGGCCCCAGGCCTCTCCCCTGCCAGTCCTCCCCAGCCCTCCCAGGGAGCTCTCCACAGGGCTCTGGAGCTGGCAGTCACAGGCCCCGCCCCCAGCTGGAGACAAAGCCGGACCTCCGGGATGCTGGGAGCAGGGTGCCCATCCAGGACTCCTGGCACTGCCATCCCGACCCACTGGGCACCTGATTCTTGGGCACAGCCCAGGACAGAGGCGGTCAGACCCCACGGCCTGGCTGGGAGGGTGTGTGGGCGCCCTGGGAGGCCTCAGAAGCTCCAGTCCCAGGCATGGTCTGGGTACAGCAGGCCCGCCTCGGTCTGCCCCTCATGACACCTCCTCCAGCTTTCAGCGCTGGTGGCCCCCGAAACCTGGTTTTGGGGGTATTTCCCAGCTTATAAGGAGGGGGTACATCTTGGGGTCCCTCAACTTCGGGTGGGAGGGGGAAGCTGCCTGCTCCGAGTGGGAAGGAGACCCTGTTTCAGGGCGTGGGGTCATCCCTGCCCCCTCCCTCACCCACGTGGCTTCGGAAAGCCCCGTGCTGGTCAACTCCCCAAGCTGGGAGTCGGGGCGTGCGGGCCACCTGTCCCGGAGCTGCCCCCAAGCTCCTCCCACTGCCAGCGGGGCAAGGGCCCGCTCCCTGCGGAGCCTCCGGACACCCCGCGTCGGGGCGCGAGGCTGGGGGTGGAGTGGGTGGCGGGCCCCACGACCCCGAGGGGACAGCGGGGCCGACTGTGGAGGGCGAGAAGGCGGGGCTCGGGACGCTGGACGCCGGCTCACCCGCCTCGCCAGGCCCGGGACGCGGCCGCCGCCACCTGTCGCGCTCGTGGGCTCGCGGCCCCGCCGGGCCTGGCGGCGGCGGGGGGCACATCCCAGGGGCGCCCCGGCCCTCTCTCCCCGGGCTTACCAGGCACACGGCGCGCGTCACCACCTGCGGCTGCGTCAGGAAGCGCCGCAGGTCGAAGGAGCCGCCCGCCTTGGCCGCGCCGTAGGCCCCGCTCTCCATGTCGCCGTCGCCGCCGCCGCCGCCGCCGCGGAACGCCGAGAAACCTGCCCGGCCGCGCCCCGCCCCGCCCCGCCCGCCGGGGGCGTGGCCAGACGCCGCCAGGGACCGAGGGCAAAGTGCGGCCCTCACGAGCAACGAGCGGGCCTCGGGACGGCGCTTCTAGCGGCCGGGAGGGGCTCTGGCCGCGGCGCACCTGTGTCCACCCCGCCTCCGGGTCGGGGGTCTCCTCCCCGGGCTACGCCGGCCGCAGCACAACCAGGGAGAGTCCCCCAGGAAGAGGGACGGACGGAGGACCGCTCACCCTCTTTGCCCCTGCCCTTCCGCCACCGCCTCCAGGAAGCCCACCACCTCCCAAGAACCCACCCAGGCTCATAAGCACCCCCGCCCCCCTCCCACTGAAAAACCCAGGCCACACCCTGGAGACCCCTCCCTGCCTGGCCTGCCACTCTTTCCTCCTCCCCGGGGCTAAACGTACGGTGGGGTCAAAGACCCCGTCCCTGTTCCTCCTGGTCTGGGCGGAGCCCCGAGGCTGTGAAGGGCCGTGCGGTGCGCAAGGCCGGGCGCCCTGGCTCACGCCTGTATTCGCAGCACTTTGGGAGGCTGAGGCGGGTGGATCACCTGAGGTCAGGAGTTCGAGACTGGGTAATATGGCGAAGCCCCGTCTCTACTAAAAATATTAAAAAATTAGCTGGGCGTGGTGGCGCATGTCTGTGACCCCAGAGTAGCCGGGATGACAGGTAATACAGCCTGCGCGACAGAGGAGACTTTGTCTCAAAAACCAAAAACCAAAGTGAGCGGCTGTGGTGGCAGCTACTGGTAGTTCCAGCTACTCCACAGGCTGCGGTGGGAGGATCGCCTGAGCCCAGGAGGCAGAGGTTGCACCCGCTGCACCCCAGCATGGGTGACAGAGTAAGACCCTGTAACCAAAAAAAAAAAAAAAAAAAAAGATGGCAGCGTGCAAACCGAAAGGAAGTTTTCAGGGCGACGGGTGGGGAGCAAAGTTTAATCCAGTTCCAGCCCCCTCTGGCTTCCATCCGTCTCCACTTCCATCCCAAGAAAAGCCGGTCCAGAGGGTCCGGCGCAGGGAAGGCCGGGCAGGCTGTGTGTGTTGGAGTGGGAGTGGAGGCTGTAGAGACAGGTGTGGGGTCCCGGGCTGACTGACCCGGAAGAATTCCAGACGCCCCTCGTTAGCTGCAGGTGCAGATTAACAAGAGCAGGTGTGCCAGGTTGAGGCTCAGAGTCCACCCAGGTGAGCTGGACCCCGGGAGAGTTGAACCAGACTTCTGGGCCACCAGGAGGTGGGGTGCCCCTCCAGGGAAGAGGGGAGCAGGTGCGTGGGGGGCTGGGCCTTTTCCCAGTGTGTCCGTGTCTCTCTCCCCACACCTGGAGAGATGTGGCAGCACCTGAGTGGCGAACACAGGGCCACACAGACCCCCTCCTTTCTGTGTTACTCCTCAAGCCCTCACACCAACGCTGTCCACATTTGCTGAAGGCCACCAGGGGTCCAAGAATCCCAGCTGGCACGCTCTTTCTTTTTTTCTTTTCTCTTTTTTTTGAGGCAGAGTCTAGCTCTGTTGCCCAGGCTGGAGTGCAGTGGTGCTGGGCTCACTGCAACCTCCGCCTCCCGGGTTCAAGTGATTCTCCTGCCTCAGCCTCCGGAGTAGCTGGGATTGCAGGCCCGTGCCCCTACGTCCTGCTAATTTTTGTATTTTTAGTAGAGACAGGGTTTCGCTGTGTTGGCCAGGCTGGTCTCGAACTCCTGACCTTGTGATCCACCCGTCTTGGTCTCCCAAAGTGTTGGGATTACAAGCGTGAGCCACTGTGCCCGGCCTCTTTTTTTCTTTTTTTTAAAATAAATGTTCTTTTGTTTATTTAAGGTAGACAACCTGACATTACGGAATTTATACAGACAGCACAAAGATTCCGATAGTGAAGCATGTTAACATATCCACCACCTCTCATAGTTACCCATTTTTTTTGTATTTGTGGCAAGAGCAGCTAAAACACACTCATTTTCGCGTGAATTCTAAATACAGACGGTACATTCTGATGGTCCACAGTCCTCTGCCCTGCTCGGCTCTCTGGACAGCTCATTCTATGTGGCTGCTGCTTTGCGACCTCTGACCTCCCCGTTCCCTACCCTGAAAACCCTCCAGGCTCCTTTTCAGACGGTGGGCGCTCCCGTAGGGCAGCAAGGCAAGGACGGGGCACTCCAGAGGCCTTGGCAGTCCTGCATCTTCTGGTCACGACCTTGGTGACAAAGCAGTGAGGATTTAGCTCAGGCAGGCTCCGCTCCCAGCCATACCCTCCCGAGGCCTCTGGGAGTGTTTGTTTTGAGTGGCGTTTCACTCTTTTTGCCCAGGCTGGAGTGCAATGACACGATCTCAGCTCATTGCAACCTCTGCCTCCTGGGTTCAAGTGCTTCTCCTGCCTCAGCCTCCCGAGAAGCTGGGATTACAGGCACACGCCACCACGCCTGGCTCATTTTGTATTTTTAGTAGAGACGGGGTTTTACCATGTTGGCCAGGCTAGTCTTGAACTCCTGACCTCAGGTGATCCGCCTGCCTGAACCTCCCAAAATACTAGGATTACAGGAGTGAGTCACTGTGCCTGGCCTGCCGCTGGGAGTTTTATGGTGCCAGGCACGTTAGTGCCCCAGCAGGAGAGGCATGAGGCTTACTCACCCCACTAAATTAAGTCTGTACACCATTTTACAGAAGGAAAAACCGAGGCTTAGTAAGACATGGCTCACCCATCAGTCTGGCTCCTGGGAAGAACAGACTTGGCAGGAAGGGACCCAGAAGTGAGATGGGAGAGTGCCAAGGACAGATTCCTGGCAGAGCCACAGAAGGGGCTGGCCACAAGCGGAGGATGAGAATCAAGACACAGCTCCAAACCAAGAAGCGACTTCACAGAGGCAGGGCCGGCCACCACCAAGGCCAGACCGGTGGGACACACAGGCCTAGGATGCCTGCGCTCAGAGACCACAAAGGCCCTCGTCACCTTACACGTCAGTATAGCCATGGCCTTGGGGAGGGGACCCTAGGAGGCTGGCCCCAGCCTCTTGCCTCTACCCAGAAAAGACTGCACAAAGTGGCTTTCACAGAAGGCAGGAGCTCCTGGTCCCCGTCGCTCTCCTGGAGACATCAATCCTGTATCCCTGCTCAGACCCCATAAAGAACTTAGGTGAGGCTGGGCGTGGTGGCTCACACCTGTAATCGCAGCACTTTGGGAGGCAGATCACCTGAGCTCAGGAGCTCAAGACCAGCCTGGCCAACATGGGGAAACCCCATCTCTACTGAAAATAGAAAAATTAGCCGGGTATGGTGGTACACACATGTACTTCCAGCTACTTGGAAGGATGAAGCATGAGAATCGCTTGAACCTGGGAGGCAGAGGTTGCAGTGAGCCAGATTATGCCACTGCACTCTAGCCCGGGTGACGGAGTGAGACTCTGTCTCAAAAAAAAAAAAAAAAAAAAAAAAAAAAAAAGGCCGGGCGCGGTGGCTCAAGCCTGTAATCCCAGCACTTTGGGAGGCCGAGGCGGGTGGATCACGAGGTCGAGAGATCGAGACCATCCTGGTCAACATGGTGAAACCCCGTCTCTACTAAAAATACAAAAAATTAGCTGGGCATGGTGGCACGTGCTTGTAATCCCAGCTACTCAGGAGGCTGAGGCAGGAGAATTGCCTGAACCCAGGAGGCGGAGGTTGCGGTGAGCCGAGATCGCGCCATTGCACTCCAGCCTGGGTAACAAGAGCGAAACTCCGCCTCAAAAAAAAAAAAAGAAAAAAAAAAGAACTTAGGAGCATGCCCCCCTCAAGGGGCCAGCAGACTCCGTTATGGGGCAGCTGGGAGCATTGGCCAGGGTCTGACAATGCCTTGAATGGGCAAGCCTCAGCAGGCCCGAGGCTCCCAGTATGCCGTCATAAAGGTCTTGGAGTCGTGTGGCAGCGGTGACAGTCCTCCTTTGCCCTGGCCACAGCCCTGCCCTGCAAGCCCACCGCCTTAGCTCCCCAGCCAGGGCCCGGTTGGACCTCTCAGGCCATCAGCAGCCCTCCCTCCTCCCTGTGCCCAGCACCCATTCCCTACCTGGTCCACGAGGTCCAGCCCAGCATCCCGGACGTGACAGCCGCAATGGAGGCAAGGCTGCCAGCCAGCACGATGGCAGGTGCTTCGGGCAACTCTCCTGGGCAGGGGGTGGAGGCAGCTGGGTTGGGCGTGCTTTAGGCAGGGGCCGGGGTGGGCATGGTTGCCTCCTATGCCCCCTCTGCTCTCGGCAGTGTCAGGCAGAGCTGTCCCACCTCCCACCGACCTGCCTCTGGGACACTAGCACCCTCGCAGCACAGAAGCACCAGCTGCCCGTCTGGAAATCCAAGGGCCGTCTCACCTGGGGGCACCAGCGTGAGGGCGCTGTGCTGGACACTGACGTTGTTTTCAGCCTGGCACTGGAACCAGTCTGATGTCTGGCTCGGTGGGAAGGAGAAGTTGGCAGGCTCCCCGTGGCGTGGTCTCTGCTGCAGGTGGACCTGGCCATCCTTCCCGACCAGGCTGTAGGTGATGGGTGGGCTGCCCGAGGACACCTGGCAGGACACCTCCACCCTGGGGCCTGACCCTCTGTCCCACAGAGCGAAGTTGGCCCGCAGCTCGGACACTGGCTCTGGCAGGATGGAAGAAGGCAGCACAGGCATGTCTGGGCAGTTTTAAATCCCTCCTCCCCAGTAAGTTCTTTGCATTATAAAATACCTAATGAGCTTATTGGAGACTGCTGCCTCCTCCAGGCTGCCTTTCAGAGTTTGCCCTCCACCTTGTTTCTGGACTGCTGCTTTACCTGCCTTGTGTACCACATAATTCCACATTTGGTTTTATCTTTTTCTTTATTTTTCTTTTTTTTTTTGTCTTCTTTTCTTTCTTTTCTTTTTTTTTTTTTTTTTTTTTGGTTTTATTTTGAGACAGGGTCTTGCTCTGTCACCCAGACTGGAGTGCAATGGCACAATCTAGGCTCACTGCAACGTCAGCTTCCCCGGCTCAAGCAGTTCTCCCATCTCAGCCTCCCGAGTAGCTAGGACTACAGGTGCGCACCACCACACCCAGCTAATTTTTGCAATTTTTGTAGAGATGGGGTTTCACCGTGTTGGCCAGGCTGGTCTTGAACTCCTGGGCTCAAGCAATCTTCTGCCTCAGCCTCCCAAAGTGCTGGGATTACAGGCGTGAGCCACCATGCCCAGCCTGGTTTATTTTTGTGTAGTATACTTCAGATCACCAGACTTAGCAAATAAAAATACACCTAAATTTTAATTTCAGATAAATAGTGGGTAATTTTTTCACTATACATGTCTTATATAAAATTTATCTTGTCACTCTATTCATTCAGTCTTGTCTTTTTTTTTCTTTTTTCTTTTTTGAGACAGAGTCTCACACTGTGGCCTGGGCTGGAGTGCACTGGCACCGTCCTGGCTCACTGCGACCTCCGGTTCCAGGGTTTGAGTGATTCTCCTGCCTCAGCCTCCTGAGTAGCTGAGATTACAGGCACCCACCACCACTCCCAGCTAATTTCTTGTGTTTTTAGTAGCGACGAGGTTTCACCATGTTGGCCAGGCTAGTCTCAAACTCCTGACCTCATGATTCACCCGCCTCTGCCACCCAAAGTGCTGGGATTACAGGCATGAGCCACCGCACCCAGCTTCAGGCATCGTCTTTACCGAAAGGCAAGCTACTTCAGGACATGAACTGTCACAAAGATTCTAAAATCCCCCAGGCCTTGAGCCTAATGCTGTAGATATTCTTACTGATTAGTAACAAACCCCACCCTTTCCACCTGCTAAAAGGCTTCCATTTAACAGGCCTTCTGGGGCAGGGCCTATTATTATTATTATTATTTTAGAAACAGCGTGTCTTGGCCGGGCGCGGTGGCTCAAGCCTGTAATCCCAGCACTTTGGGAGGCCGAGGCGGGTGGATCACGAGGTCGAGAGATCGAGACCATCCTGGTCAACATGGTGAAACCCTGTCTCTACTAAAAATACTAAAACTTAGCTGGGCGTGGTGGCGCGTGCCTGTAATCCCAGCTACTCAGGAGGCTGAGACAGGAGAATTGCATGAACCCAGGAGGCGGAGGTTGCGGTGAGCCGAGATCGCACCATTGCACTCCAGCCTGGGTAACAAGAGCGAAACTCCGTCTCAAAAAAAAAAAAGAAAGAAACAGCGTGTCTTGTTGCCTGGGCTAGAGAGCCATGGTGTGATCACGGCTCACCACAGCCTCCAACCCCTGGGCTCAAATGATCCTTCCACCTCAGCCTCCCAAGTAGCTATTACCACAGGCATGAGCCACCACACCCAACTTAACTTTTTTTTTTTTTTGAGACGGAGTTTCGCTCTTGTTACCCAGGCTGGAGTGCAATGGCGCGATCTCGGCTCACCGCAACCTCCGCCTCCTGGGTTCAGGCAATTCTCCTGCCTCAGCCTCCTGAGTAGCTGGGATTACAGGCACGCGCCACCATGCCCAGCTAATTTTTTGTATCTTTAGTAGAGACGGGGTTTCACCATGTTGACCAGGATGGTCTCGATCTCTCGACCTCGTGATCCACCCGCCTCAGCCTCCCAAAGTGCTGGGATTACAGGCTTGAGCCACCGCGCCCGGCTCCAACTTAACTTTTTTTAAAAAAATAGCTGTAGGCCAGGTGTGGTGGCTCACTCCTGTAATCCCAGCACCTTAGGAGCCTGAGGCGGGTGGGTCACTTGAGGTCAGGAGTTTGGGAACAGCCTGGTCAACATGGTGAAACCCTGTCTCTACTAAAAATGCAAAGATTAGCCAGGCATGGAGGCACCGGCCTGTAATCCCAGCTGCTCGGAAGGCTGAGGCAGGAGAATCGCATGAACCCAGGAGGCGGAGGTTGCAGTGAGCTGAAATCGCACCACTGCATTCCAGCCTGGGCGACAGAGCAAGACACCATCTCAAAAAAAGAAAAAATAAAATAAATAGACAAGATGCCATCTCAAAAAAAGAAAAAATAAATTTTGTAGACATCAAGTCTTACTCTGCTGTCCACACTGGTCTCAAACTCCTGGCCTCAAAGGATTCTCCCACCTTGGTCTCCCAAAGTGCTGGGAATATAGGTGTGAGCCACCTCACCGGCCTCTGTTACTATTTTCCTTTTGCAGATAAAGCAGTTGAAGCTCAGAGGTCCAATGACTTGCCCAAGATCCCAGCCAGTAAGTATAGGGATTTGAACCCCGGACCTGTTGGATGCAGACCCTGGGCTCATCTCCCCTAGGCTGTCTTTTCCTGGTGTTCTGAGGGTGTTGGGCAAACAATGAATAGGGAGTTTCCTCATCCCACCCGAGGTCTGGCAACTTCCGGGTTCCCATACCTCATGGCTCCCACCAAGAAGGTTACCTGACTGACGATCAAGATGGAAACAGGAAGAAGGCAGGGTCTGGGGCTGGACAGGGTGGGTTTGAAAGCAGCCTTGTCCACTTGCCAGCCACGTGGCCTGGGGCGACTTTCCAACTTGCCCGAGCTTTAGCTTTCATAGCTACGGACCCAGAGTCCCAGACCCCACCCTGACACTGCAGTGAAGATCAAGTGAAGTAATGCCTAACTTTTTTTCTTTTCTTTTTTTTTTTTTTTGGAGACAGTCTTGCTCTGTCACTCAGGCTGGAGTGCAGCGGCGCGATCTCTCACTGCAACCTCCGCCTCCTGTGTTCAAGCGATTCTCCTGCCTCAGCCTCCGAGTAGCTGGGACTAGAGGTGCACCCTACCACGCCCGGCTCATCTTTGTATTTTTAGTAGAGAGGGGGTTTCCCCGTGTTGCCCAGGCTGGTCTCAAGCCATCAGCCCACCTCGGACTTCCTCAGTGCTGAGATTCGTGCCTAGTTTATCACCTTGAGATCCAGCTGACAACGGGGATCCAGTCATTTCTGCCATCTGTTGGGCTCTTTACACTGTGCCCTCAGGCTCCTGCCAGGGGAAAGTGCCCTGAGAGCCCCCAGCCAGGGACAGTGAGCCCTGAGAAAAGGCCCCAAGGGGCTGAGAGTGGTCTCGGAGGCAGCAGCCTGTCCTCGTCCACACCCTCACGCCCTGGCTCTCTCTAACCCCAGCGAAGTTCACAATTCCCACTCCCGGGACTCCCCACTGATCCGCACCTCACCTGCCTCCTCAGCCCCGTGCCCCCCACCACACTCACTGGACCACAGTTCCCAGTACATCTGCAGCCTGGCACTGTCCACGTGGGCACCCGAGGTGGAGGCCGCCCGGCAGAAGTAGGTGAGCAGGTCTGGACTGGACTTGAGTGTGATGTTGAGGCTGAAGGAGGCCGGCTCGCGGATCTTCGCCACCTTCTTGGCCACCCTGATGTTCTTGGTTCCACAGAGGGAGTAGGTGACGGGCGGAGGCGTCTGCGGTGCATGGCAGGTTATGAGCACCCGGCGGCCTTTGGGGAAAACTTCCAGGACTTTGTAGGCAATGGAGACCTCAGGGGTGATTTCTGGGAGATGAAAAGATCCGAGGAGGAAGAAATAAACCGACATTGATCCAGCACTTTAAGAAGATACTGGTTTGGCCAGGCTTGGTGGCTCATGCCTGTAATCCCAGCACTTTGGGAGTCCCAGGCAGGCGGATCATGAGGTCAGGAGTTTGAGACCAGTCTAGCCAACATGGTGAAACCCCGTCTCTACTAAAAATACAAAAATTAGCCAGGCATGGTGGCTGGTGCCTGTAATCCCTGTTACTCAGGAGGCTGAGGCAGGAGAATTGCTTGAATCGGGAGGCAGAGGTTGCAGTGAGCTGAGGTTGCACGACTGCACTCCAGCCTGGGCAACAGAGGGAGACTCTGTCTCAAAAAAAAAAAAAAAAAGATACTGGGTTTAGCACGTTCTCACTTGTACTTGGGAGGTGAACACAGAGTACACATGGACACAAAGAAGGGAGCAGCAGACACCAACGCCTACTTAAGGTAGAGATGGGAAGGAGCATGAGGATCAAAGACTTACCTACCTGGCTGGGGGCGGTGCCTCACACCTGTAATCCCAGCACTTTGGGAAGCCAAGGCAGATGGGTCACTTGAGGTCAGGAGTTTGAGACTAGCCTGGCCAGCATGGTAAAACGCTGTTTCTACTAAAAATACAAAAATTAGCCAGGCATGGTGGTGTGCAACCGCAGTCCCAGCTATTCAGGAGGCTGAGGCAGGAGAATTACTTGAACCCAGGAGGTGAGATTGCATTGAGCTGAGATCATGCCCCTGCACTCTGGCCTGGGCAGCAGAGCAAGACTCTGTCTCAAAAAATGAAACTACCTATCAGGGGTGCTATGCTGATTACCTGGGTAGTGGAACATTACCCCGTAACATGCAATTTACTTATATAAACAAACCTGCACATGCACCCCGAACCTAAAAGCTAAAAATAAATAAATGTAACCAGTAGACCTCAAAGAAAAAAAAAGAAAAAGAAAAAATACTGATTTAGTCATTCCTCAAAAAGTTAAACCAACTTACCATATGACCCAGCAATTCCGCTCCTAGACATATACCAAAGAATAGAGAACAGGGATCGAACAGACACCTGTACACGCACGTTCACGGCAGCGTGATTCACCGCAGCCGAAAGGTGGAAATGGCTCAAATGTCTATCAACGGAAAAATGGGTAGATAAATGGGGTTGAGCCGTATAAGGAATCTTACTCAGCCTTAGAAAGAAATGAGCACAGATGCAGACTGTGGCAGGGATAAGCATACAGCATTCCGCTAAACAGAAAGGCAGACACGGAGGGCAGCCCTTGCCTGACTCTGTGTGCAAAGCTCAGAAGAGGAAAAGCCGCAGAGGCAGAAAGCAGACTGGTTACTAGGGCCCAGGGGCAGGGGAAATGGAGAGTAACTGCCTGGTGGGTGCAGGGTTTCCTTTCGGGGTGATGAAAATCTCTGGGAACTAGATAGTGTGGTGATCATGCAACATTGTATTGTGAATGCACTAAATGCTGCTGAATTATCACTTTTTTTTTTGAGATAGAGTCTTACACTTTTGCCCTCCAGGTTCAAGGATTCTCGTGCCTCAGCCTCCAGAGTAGCTGGGATTATAGGCACCCGCCACCGCGCCCAGCTAATGTTTTTTTTTTTTTTTTTTTTTTTGAGGAGGAGTTTCGCTCTTGTTACCCAGGATGGAGTGCAATGGCACGATCTCGGCTCACTGCAACCTCCACCTCCTGGGTTCAGGCAATTCTCCTGCCTCAGCCTCCTGAGTAGCTGGGATTACAGGCACACACCACCATGCCCAGCTAATTTTTTGTATTTTTAGTAGAGACGGGGTTTCACCATGTTAACCAGGATGGTCTCGATCTCTTGACCTTGTGATCCACCCGCCTCGGCCTCCCAAAGTGCTGGGATTACAGGCTTGAGCCACCACGCCCAGCAATGTTTGTATTTTTACTAGACATGGGGTTTTACTATGTTGGCCAAACTGGTCTCGAACTCCTGACCTCAGGTGATCTGCCCGCCTTGGCCTCCCAAAGTGCTGGGATTACAGGTTTGAGACACTGCATCTGGCCCACTTTTATTTATTCATTTAGAGACAGAGTCTTACTCTGTCGCCCAGGCTGAAGTACAGTAGCACCATCTCAGCTCACTGCAACCTCCAGCTCCTGGGTTCAAGCGATTCTCATGTCTCAGCCTCCCAAGTAGCAGGGACTATAGGCACCTACTACCACACCCAGCTAATTTTTGTATTTTTCGCAGAGACGGGGTTTCACCATGTTGGTCAGGCTGGTCTCGAACTCTTGACCACAGGTGATCCACCCACCTGGGCCTCCCAAAGTGCTGGGATTATAGGTATAAACCACTGTGCCTTGTCATTACTGATTCTTTTTTTTTTTTTTTGAGACGGAGTTTCGCTCTTGTTACCCAGGCTGGAGTGCAGTGGCGCGATCTCGGCTCACCGCAACCTCCGCCTCCTGGATTCAGGCAATTCTCCTGCCTCAGCCTCCTGAGTAGCTGGTACTACAGGTGTACGCCACCATGCCCAGCTAATTTTTGTATTTTTAGTAGAGACGGGGTTTCACCATGTTGACCAGTATGGTCTCAATCTCTTGGCCTTGTGATCCACCCGCCTCAGCCTCCCAAAGTGCTGGGATTACAGGCTTGAGCCACCGCGCCCGGCTGTCATTACTGATTCTTTAAGACAGTAGTCAGGATTAAACAAATATGTTTCTGGAGGCTAGGCATGGTGGCTCACACCTGTAATCCAAGCACTTTGGAGGCCAAGGCAGGTGGATAACCTGGGGTCAGGAGTTCAAGACCAGCCTGACCAACATGGTGAAACCCCGTCTTTATTTTAAAAAAGAAAAAAAAAATTAAAAAAAAAATTATGGGATAGGGGTTTGAGGGAGAGGGTTGTATTATGCCAATGGTGGGGACCTGTTTGCATTTTCAAGAACAGTGTGTAGGCTGGGCATGGTGGCTCACGCCTGTCATCCCAGCACTTTGGGAGGCTGAGGCAGGTGGATCACCTGAGGTCAGGAGTTCGAGACCAGCCTGGCCAACATAGAAAAACCCTGTCTCTACTGAAATACAAAAATTAGCTGGCATTGTGGTACATGCCTATAGTCCCAGCTACTTGGGAGGCTGAGGCAGGAGAATCACTTTTACCCAGGAGACAGAGGTTGCAGTGAGCCAATATCCTGCCGCTGTACTCCAGCAGGGTGAGGAGAAAGGAGAAATGGCGAGAGGGAGAGAGGGAGGGAGGGAGAGAGGGAGAGAGAGAGAAGGAGGGAAAGAGAGAGGGAGGGAGGGAGGGAGGGAGAGAGAGAAGGAGGGAGAGAGGGAGGCAGGGAGGGGCCAGGCATGGTGGCTGACGCTTATAATCCCAGCACTTTGGGAGGCCAAGCCGGGCAGATCACCTGAAGTCAGGAATTCAAGACTAGCCTGGCTAACATGGTGAAACCCCATTTCTACTAAAAGTACAAAATATTAGCCAGGTGTGGTGTCATGAGCCTGTAACCCCAGATACTGGGGAGGCTGAGGCAGGAGAGTCAATTGAACCTGGGAGGCAGAGGTTGCAGTGAGATGAGATCTCTCCACTGCATTCCAGCCTGGGACACTGGGACAGAGCCAGACTCTATCTCATCCATTTGAAAAAAAAAAAAGAAAGAAAGAAAGAAAGAAAAGAGAAGGAAGGAAGGAAGAAGGAAGAAAAAAGAAAGAGAATAGTGTGTATTGGCCGGGCACAGTAGCTCAGGCCTGTAATACCAACTGTGGGAGGCTGAGGCAGGAGGAATGCTTGAACCCAGGGGTTCCAGACCAGCCTGGGCAACATAGTGAGACCCCACCCCTATTTAATCAAAAGAAAAATTAAAAAGAAAAAAAGAAGAGTGTGTGGTTGGCAGTGCTTGGGGGAGGGGTGGAAGAAGGTCCTGTGAAATCTGAACATCACAGATGTCATGAGTCGCCTTTGCTCTGCTGGGCATGCCTGCTCTGGAAACCACCCTGCAGTCAGGGAACTGCTGATTGAGCAGAGGCCTCGAACAAACTGGAGTGTGTGACCACTAAGCACGTTCCATTCCAGACCAGTAACTCTCAACCAGGGGCCATTCTGCCTCCAGGACAGCTTTGGGTCTGGGGACATTTTTGGTTGTCAAGATTGGGAGGTGAACTCCTAGCTTGGGCCAACAGCAAGACCCCGTCTCTACAAAAACAAAAAAAGACGGGGTTTCTGCTGACGTTTAGTGGGTGGAGGCCAAGGGTGCCGCTAAACATCCCGCGGTGCGCGGTCAGCCCCACTGCGAAGAATCATCCGGCCTCCGGCGGCAGGAGTGCTGAGGTTGACAATGGTGGTCTAGACAAATGGCAGCAGCCTTCTAGAATCAGGACATCTTCCCCTGCCCAGGGCTGCCCAGACACCAACAATTATTTTCTCATTTGTGCCTCCTTGAAAACTTTATGAGAACTCTCATTCATTCTTTCATTCATTTATTCATTCATTTGAGATGAAGTCTCACTCTGCCACACAGGCTAGCGTATAGTGGCGCAATCGTGGCTCACTGCAACCTCTGCCTCCCGAGTTCAAGTGATTCTCCTGCCTCAGCCTCCTGAGTAGCTGGGATTACAGGCACACACCACCACACCTGGCTAATTTTTGTATTTTAAGTAGAGATGGGGTTTCCCCATGTTGGCCAGGCTGGTCTCCAACTCCTCACCTGAGGTGATCCACCCACCTTGGCCTCCCAAAGTGCTGGGATTACAGATGTGGGCCACTGCACCTGGCCAGAGCTCTCCTTTTTAGATGGGGAAGAATTTTTTTTTTTTTTTTTTTTTTTTTTTTTTTTGAGACGGAGTTTCGCTCTCGTTACCCAGGCTGGAGTGCAATGGCGCGATCTCGGCTCACCGCAACCTCCGCCTCCTGGGTTTAGGCAATTCTCCTGCCTCAGCCTCCTGAGTAGCTGGGATTACAGGCACGCGCCACCAGGCCCAGCTAATTTTTTTGTGTTTTTAGTAGAGAT